AAAAACCCCTTAATCCCCCTTAATTGTGAGAATTGCGTTGGGCTCCCCCTCTAACATTATTTAGTGGATCCTAAGGAACATCTCTGCCAAATTGGGCGCTTTTGTCACTTCTGTCACGATGGGACCTATATTTTGCCATAAGAGACCTGACTATACGAGGGTTTTCTCCGGGTTCTCCGGTTTCCTCCCTCCGTAAAAACATTCACGACTACTCAAATGCGCTGCTGGTACAATAGCTCCGTCAATCACCAGCCTCCTAAATGTTTCAATCCGTACTGGCAAGTTTCCAGATCTATGGAAGTGTTCTAAAATTACTGCATTATTTAAATCAGGAGATCGGACTAATGCTTCGAACTATCGACCTATTTCAATTTTACCAACTCTCAGCAAATTACTTGAAAAAACTGTTCATTCACAGTCATATCATCACTTGGCTGAACATAAATTCTTTCCAGTAAACAATTTGGTTTTAGACGACGATCATCTACAGCATCTGCCTTGTCAGCATTTGCAGATGAAGTTTTAACCAACATGGAGCAAGGAAAATTATGTGGGACAGTTTTTTTAGATTTAACAAAAGCATTAGACACAGTTGACCACGAGATATTTTTGTCCAAATTATCCGCAACTGGGGTTTCTGATGACGCTCTTCAATGGTTCCATTCGTATCTCACCAATAGAAAACAGCGAGTCTGCCAAGACAATGAACTATCTGATGAACTTACAATCAATTATGGAGTTCTTCAAGGAAGTATTTTAGGCCTACTCCTATTTATTATATATGTTAATAACCTGCCGAATATTCTGGAATTCTCCAACGCTTCTTTGTACGTGGATGATACAGCGATTTACTGTTATGGTTCTAACCCTCAGGAAATAAGTGACAAACTAAACAATGACTTATTGTCTGTGGCAAAATGGCTTAATAGTAAGTAAGCTGACATTGAATTTAGAGAAAATTAAATGTATGTTGATAGGTAGTAATCGTAAGCTCGCCAAAAATACTACTCTTTCAATTTCGATTTTAAATCATAACATTGATTCCGTAAGTAGCTTTAAATATTTGGGAGTTTTTCTCTCATCTGATTTTACGTGGTCGGAACATGTGGAATATGTAACAAATAAAGTCAATCAAAGACTTAGTCTACTTAGCGGACGGATAAAACATTTACTAGCATGTAAATCACGTCTCTTATTTTATAATAGCCTCGTTCTCCCACTTTTTGATTATGCCGATACTATTTGGGGAGATAAAAATAATACAAGTCTAATATCAAGCTTACAAATTTTGCAAAACAAGGCTGCAAAAATCATATTAGATAAGCAGTTGCATTCCTCAGCTACTGAAACTCTTACTGCTTTAAAGTGGATTTCCTTAGTTCAACGACGTTTTCAAAGAAGATGCATTTTTGTTTATAAGTGTCTAAATGGCCTGCTTAATCATCATATGAATTTACAAATGAATAAAGAACAAGATGAATATAACACCAGAAATAAAGACCATCTAAGACTCCACAAAGTAACGAAAACAAAAGTTAGATTATCAAGCGGTCAAAGACTTAAATTAAACAAGGACATAAGGAATTCAGAAAGTATTAATATCTTTAAGAAAAGAGTTTTCTCATATATCATTCAATGATTTTTAGATATATTAAGTTTATTATATTTAAGCTATATTTTATTAAGTAGTGGTTTACATATTGAAGAAACAATGAAATGTTCAGATTATAGACACTGATTTGTTGTCTGTCAGTCTCATTGTTTCTTTAATAGCTTGATTTTAATAACTATTTTTTCTCTTTTATAGTTTTGATATTTTAGATTCTCTATATTAGTTATAATTTTAGGTTTTCCGTTTATCATATATTATTTTTTTAATGAGGTCCTTTTTGAAAATCATGATTATGAAAAAGATATCTCAATAAATAGAGGATATTACATGGGCGCGCGGAGATACGAAATTTATCTTCGAGTGTTGAAAAGATCTCTCACGAGTGAGCGCAGCGAAAGAGTGAGAGATTTTCAACACGAGAAGATAAAATTCCTATCTCCAAGCGGCCATGTAATATTCTGTTTATTATATAATTATCAATGAA